AGAGAGAAAGTGAACTAACTGCCCATTGACCATCTGGGGTGGCAGTGACTCGGGATTTCACTATCTGGGGAAACCCAGCTGCCCCTGTTCTCCTGCTGGGGCATCTCATCTCTTGGACTGTCCAGGAGGCAGGAAGGGTAACTAGAAGGTGCCGCCTGGTGTCGGGGACCTGGTGCAGCGCCCCCATTCAGACTGAGCCTGGTGTTGTGGTTTCTGCCTCGGTGAGTACTCATTTCCGTAATTATTATTTAGCATTTGGAGCGTGGTTATTTTACACTCAGTGTTCTTCATAGTGAGAGGGTCTCCTGTTCAAACCAATAAAATTTCCATTTACTCTGGACATCAACCACGGTGATTAAAAAAATAAAGCCCATAAATTATTTACTGAACTGGAGGCTCAGCTTACGGTAATAATGCATTAGTTCAGCTAGCCATCACGCCTGTTAGAGGGTCATAAAAGATTTTTTATTTTCCTTCTTAAAAGACATTTGCAAGTCACCTACACATGACCTTGAACTGATCAATTTTCAGAGATGGTACTGGGAGGAGGGTGTATCAGGAGAGAAATAGAGAGGGCTTTTTCTCAATCAGCCTGATTTTAGGCACTGGGGCAAATGCCTGTCCTTTTATAGCCTTCAGGGGAAGAAAAATGAGGAAAAAAATGTGTGTGTATAATTTTTTAAAAAAGGACCAGACCTTAAAAATCCTTTAGAAATGGGTATTTCTTTGATAGATACATAAGTCTGAAAGCTGGCGGGAAGGACCCTTTGGAGAGTCGAGCCTGTCGCTATTGTTGAGACCACCTGTCACTTTCACATAAGTCTGGAGCTCCGTAGAATAAAGCCAGCCCAATGGTTCTGTCTTCATCTTTAAAGAATGTTGCATTTATGGAGCAGATCGATCCCTGTATCTCAAAGCCTGCGATGCTGCTCACGGCCATTTGCTGACTAATGTCTCTGGAGGAGGAGGAAAGCAGCGAGTTTGTGAATTATGGCTGTCTTTGAGGTTCTCTTAGCAAGGCTATTTTTTTATTTTAAGAACGTCTGCTTTGATTAAAGCCATTAGAGCTGGGAGCAAATAAAAATGTGTTTGAATTGTACATGTCTTGCATTTTATAGCAGGAACCCAGATGAAGTCTACGTTTTAATTCTTCTTCCATTAAAGCAAGTGAGGAGGATTCAATTACCAAGTTAAACTAGGTCCCCCTCAAATGCCTGGTTTGGGGTTCTAAGAAGCCCCGTGGTAGGACACTTGTTGTTCGAGTGATTCTTTTATTTATTTATCCTGTGCATTTCTTCAAAATATTTATTTATTTATTTATTTATATCCTTTTTTTTCTTTTGCTGCAAATGTTAGTTTTAAGATGACATGGTTTAAAAATGACATTTTAAAATTCATTTTTTAAAATGAATGTGTTAGGACAGGAGGGTTCAAGGTTTATGAGCAAACCTGTGAACACTTTGATCAACTTGTTTTTTGAAAAAAAATTTTTTTGTAGTTGTAGATGGACAGAATGTCCCCTTTATTTTATTTGTTTATTTTTATGTGGTGCTGAGGATTGAACCCAGTGCCTCATGCATGCTAGGCAGGTGCTCTACCACTGAGCTACAGCCCTAGCCCTGATCAACATATTTTTATATTCATTAACCTTAAAGAGATCATCTGCACACTATGAGACTGAAGTGGTATTAAATTATCTAATAGCAAAGGAGACCTGACAATTCATTTCTAGTTATTAGAAAGTTCCGGGGTTGCTTCCCTTCCGCTTAACTTAGTTTTGTGGCTGATGATTTGCACTCTTGAAACCGTCAGCATATTTCTAATTCTGTGAAACCGTGGACTCACTCTGTGTTGTGGATGTCGGGGTAACTCAGTGCTTGACAAGGAAGGAGCTCTGGGTGGTCTTTATGCACTCTACCTGGAGTGATGGAGTAGGTATTCTTCAGTGTCCTGGATCCTTGGACTCTGCCCTTGACTACATTTCCTGATAAAGCATTTTCCTTTCATCTCCCTTTTAGCAGTCTCTCTTCCCTGTTTCCGCAGCTGGGGCCTGAAATTCCTTTTCTTCTGCTTCCTTTCTTTCTTGCAAACCTGCAATATAAAAACCTGTATTCAGGTTGAGCTTTTGGCTTCTCGTATGTTTCCAGTGTGCCCCAGTTGACCTGTGTATACTGGGAACTTGCATCGGTGGAAGCAGCCTGGGGCAGATGTTATTGTACTAGCTTTACCGAGGCAGAGTGAACAGGGCCACAGTAATGGAACCTGGACTTTCTTACTGTGGGTAATGGCTGTGCAGGACTGAAGGGGGCGCGTGATGCCCATCCGCTGTTAGCTCAGGTAGCCAGAGATGAATAGATCACACTCCACTGACCTTCTCAGGCTTAGTCCTAAGGCATGCAAGATCTCAAGCCTTGTTGGGATCATTAGCACACCAGGATTAATAAACTTTCCACTGTTGCTCTTTAGGGGATAAGGTTGGCTTTTCACCTTGAAGTTTTCCGCACCACTTTGACATTCTAAATGGCAAAGTAGAGATATCAGCTGAAAACAAATGTGTCTCTGACGCCTTTGTATATTGCTGTGCTGGGTCGGTGGGCATGAACAGGTAATTAGCTTGGACTATGTACAGATGTGGATGTGCCCAGTAACACAGTATCTATGAAAACCTTTCTCCTCCATTCCTTCTCAGCAGATCAGTTTTAAATCATGGAATAACGTAGATGAATTTTAATTTCTGATGAAAGAAGTCCATGAAGTTCAACTGCCTCCAGGCCTGGCGAGTAATCAGCAAGTCAAATGATTTGTTTAGTACTTCCCCGGATGCAGTGGGGGAGGGAGAGATGGGGAGAAGAGCAGCAACAACAAAAAATCCTTGATTCTTACCCTCAAAGTCCCCTGGAGTCCCCTGGGGGCCCGAGGCACATGTTCAGTGTGTGGCTGGACCCATGCTATTTTGCAAGTCAGTGGGATGACCCAGGCCAGCTTGGAGAAGGGCTGAGTGACAGGATAATTAGAACCGAGCTGCAGCAGGGTGGAGGGCCTGCCGGTGGATAATAGCTTGTTTGCTAATTGCCAACACCAGATTTTCTGGGCCATTAGACATTTGGTTTCTTCCAAGGCCTTCTGTGCAAATGTGGCCGCGTGGCCGCAGGCCTTCCAGGTAGCAGGTGGAGAGAGGGCAGCTCCTGGGGCTGGATGGCGTCTCTCCAAGGGCTGTCTAAGGGGCCTTGGGCAGGAAGGAACTGTCATGAACAGGTGGAAGGATCACCCGCTGGGACCCTAAGTGGAGAGGCAGCGTTCACCCAGCTTTTATGGAAGGTGGGACCCTTGTGCTGGGAGATCAGCGAAGATGGTGGAGTTAGCAGGCTGCTGGAGGAAAAGAGCTGACTTCTCCATGCTCTTTTGAGATCCCTGGGCCATGGAAGCTAATAGAAATGGGAAATGGCTTTCCCTCCCAGAGGAGCAAATTGTTTTTCTTGTTTAAAAAAAAAACATTTTTTACTATGATAAAGTATATGTAACAAAACTTACCATTTTGACCATTTTTAACTGTACAGTTCAGTGGCAGGAGTGATATTCTCAATGTTGTGCAACCTTCACTGCTATTTATTTCTAAAACTTTTCATCATCCCAATCAGTACCTTTGTGCTCATTAAGCAATAACTCTCCTTTCTTCCTCCCTCCGGTTCTGGTAACCTCTAATCTACTTTCTGTCTTTACAAATTTGTCTATTACAGATATTAAACATAAGTGAAATTATATAGTATTTGTCCTTTTGTGTCCAGCGTATTTCACTTAGCATGTTTTCTGGTTCATTCATGTTGTAGCATATATAAGAATGTCCTTCCTTTTTTATAGCCGAATACTATTCCTTTGTATGCACATACCACCTTTTATTTATCCATTTATCTCTTCATAGACACTTGGGTTGTTTCTATCTTCTGATTATTGTAAACATTGCTGTAATGAACATTTACACATAAGTACCTCTTTGAGTCCCTGTTTTCAATTACTTTGGGGAGATACCTAGGGATAGGATTAGTGAATTATAGTAATTCTATATTTGACTTTTTAAGAAACCACCAAACCATTTCCCACAACTGTACCATTTTACATTCTCACTAGCAATTCATACAGTTCCATTTTTTTCACGTTTTTCCTACACTTGTCCTTAAAGAATTGTCAACTTAGCGGGTGTGGAGTGGTATCTCATTGTAGTTTTGATTTGCATTATTTATCTAATGAGTAATGACATTCAGCATGTTTTCATAAGCCTCCCGACCATTTGTATGTCTTCTCTGAGAAATGTCTATTCAACCTTTTGCCTCTGTAATCTTGTGGCTCTCACAGAGCTGGAGCTGAGCCTCATGGGGAGGAGAGAGATCATGAGCTTGCAGAGAGGGGAGGCAGCTGAGCAGACTCCGGGTCTCACATTCGCTCTCACCATTGCTCTGTCCCTGGGCTGTTGGGTACTCACTGTAATGATGCGGTTTGAGTTCCCACCCAATTGAAAGAGATTTTGCAGGAGCCTGAGATTAATGCAAAGTGATTCTGCAGAAGAGGCCGATAGAGCCGCTCCTGTGCTCCCTCAGAAGCAGCCATGCCTTTCCAAGTCACCTCRAGCCCTCCTATCAGGTATTAGGCTATGCATTGAGTGGAGCAGGACATGCCAAGCCCCGTGTGACTCCTGGGATTCATAGGTGCAAGTGTCCAGCCTTTGGAGGACTTAACAGCATCTCCTGCTTGGTGGGGTTGGGCGGCACAGTGAGAAGCCTGGTAGTCACTGGGAGAAAAGGGACAGGGACATCTCACTGGGTCAAGTTCTAATTCCAAACCCAGAGGGGTGCTGGCGTGGACTTGGATCCCCTGCCTTCCTGGCTGGGGTCGGGCCCTGCTTTCAAGCAGCCCAGAGCCTGAGGAGCAAAACCCTGCGGGCCTCACTCCTGTCCCCGGGCCAGCCTGTGCCACGTCTAAAGGGAGGACTTTATCTTTCCTTTCAGAAACGGCCCCCACCTCTGCATATTCATCTCCAGCCCGGAGTCTTGGGGACACAGGAATAACGCCTCTGTCCCCTTCCCACATCGTGGTAAGAAGTGTGTGCATGTGTGCATGTGTGCATGTGCCCGTGCGTGTGAGCTGGCTACCTTTTCCTTCTGCATCTGCTCTCACTGTTCAGGCCCCTGGGCAGCCCTGCATGTTCACTGGGTGGAGATCAAATCCCAGGTACTGGCCATGGAAGCCCTGCCAAGCGCCTTCCCCACTCGGGGCCTAGAAAGGCTTTCCACGTGTGGCCCATGCTTCTAGAGCTGAGGGCCCGGGGGAGTGGCACCAGTAGGCAGGCTGGGCACACGTAGCTCTTTAAAGGCCAGTTCCAGCCACCACAGGCACCTGCTGGGAAGGAAGCGAATCAGTGAAATGCAGTGGCTTTGCCCTCTGCCGTTCCCTGCCTGCTTCTCACTGTGCCACCCAACCCCACCAAGCCTGAGGCTGAGGTATTGCTTCTGCAACAGTGTGCCCAGGAGAGAACATGGGAGCAGGGTTTCGCACTAGCCGTTGCTCCCACCCCACCCTGCACCTTAAGCGTGGTCCTTATGGGGGCTGCTGTAAAGAGGGGCGTCCACGCAGCCAGTGCAGTCAAGCACCCGAGGAAAGCGTGGCTTTGCATGAGCTGCACAGCTCCCAAGGACCCTGCTGAGAAGAGCTTTGGAGCTTGGTAGTGGGTGTCAAYCTGTCCTGGTTTCCTGGAACTGTCCCCCTGTTGCACAAAGTCCTGCATCCTGGAAAGTCCCTCAGTCCTAGCAACGGTGAGGTTGGTCACCTGTGGCCAGGTCCTGTGGTTTCCAAACTCTGCACACTGAGGGTTCCTTGTAGAAGCTTCAGGTTGGTGGAGAGGAGGGTAGGGGGCGGGGCAGGGGACTGGGCCAGTGGTTAGGTGGGTATTGTTCTCACCTCCTGCTTCAGCCAACACACCAGTGTTGAAATGTGCTGGCTTTTATAATTTGGAGTTGTGTGGGAGTTAAAAGAAAGAAAGTCTACATTGCTTTAAAAAAAATGTCTGCCCAAATGACTTGACAGATGGGGAAAGACTCTGACAGATGAGGGCATGGGCATGGCAGGGTCATGTGGTTGGCATTTTGCAGGATCAGGTAGTGTCCTGGGTGTGCCCAGCCTGTTCAGGTGCATGAAATGCTGGCACAGATGGAGAGATCACTGGGAGGCATGATGAAGGGCACAGCTGGCAGAGTGCTCRGGGCGGTCACTGGAGGTCTGCACAGGATCGTGGAGGGCAGTGGGGGAGACAGTGTCTAACCAGAGAGCTACTGGGCTCCTGCTCCATGGTAGCACTTCCATAATTAGCCACAGGCATGCAGGGTTGATGAGCTGCAAGCAGTGCCCTGCCCAGGTGTCCGGTCCCCACTCGGGCACCTCTGTCTCCCCAAACCACTCAAGTGGGGCTGAGGCTGGCTTGCCCTGTCTCCAGGGCTGCCACGTGGCAGACTTGAGCAGGAATGTGGAAACCCTTCTGCCTGCAGTGAGTCACAGCTGGGCTGGGTGGAACTGCCCTCCCCAAAGCCAGGCCTGGCCCGGGGCACAGAGCCTTACTTGTATCTACAGAATGATGCCGACCCCAACGTCTCGGAACAGCAGACGTTTCTCGTGGTGGTGGCCATCGACTTTGGGACCACGTCCAGCGGCTATGCCTACAGCTTCACCAAGGAGCCAGAATGCATTCACGTGATGAGGTGAGTGCTGTGGGTGGGGCAGGCTTGAACGGCACCCGGGTCAGAGCAGTCAATGGGCAGGTGAATGGCACTAGGAGGAGGACCCTGGATTCTAGCYCAGACCCACTGTGCCACTTTGAGCAAGCCATTTCTGACCCACAGGCCTCCAGTGCCTGTCTCCGAAGCATTGGTTTAATACTGATGTAGTTGGTCAGGGGAGGGGCCATGCACTGTGCTTGAAGCCTGGCCAGGTGACTCCAGGGTATGGCCTGTTGAGAGGAGCTGACCTACACAGCCTCTGTGATGGAGGAGGTCCAGGTGCTGGCTCAGCCTGACTTTGGATTGAACCAGCTAAACCTCAGTTTCCTCATCTGTGAAATGGCAATAGCAATGGCACCTGTGAATTTGCCTCCTGCAAATGAGATTTCCTATCAAGTACTCAGCATGCAGAGAAGTACCAGCTCTTTCAGGTGACAGTATCACAAGGGCTGAAGGCACAGGCCCGGGAGGAAACAGGAGGGGTGAATCTCAGCCAAGTGGCCCTAAAGGCAGAGTAACCCTGGCCTCCTGGACACTTTGTGCCAGATCACCCCCACCCTGCCCTCCACGATGCATGGAGCAACCCGGCAGCCCTCACACCACCCAACCCTGGAAACCAATGTCCACTAGGAGTCTGGTTTGTCCTGTTGGCTCTCTCAGTGGTAATTTTTGACCCTCTTGCAGACTCTGTGGCCCCTCAAAACTTTGGAAGCCTGGGATTTATCATCTTGATTTTCCATCTAGGAGAGGGTTTGAGTTTCATTATAAATGGTTTTGATTTTCCTTTAACTGGTTAATTGTGAAATTTATGCATCACCCCCAGAGTAAGATTTTAGGTGTTTTTATGACGGCAGTGTAAAACACTAGCCTACTAGGTTTGGCTTATCATTCTCTTGACAACCAGATGTGGTTCAGTCTGAGGCCCCTGTCCTTATAAAAAACTCCAGAGGCCCTTGGGTGCCTGGGTGTCATCTCATTAGGAAATAATGAAAAGCCACTTCTACTAGACCACATAGCGCTCAGCGGCCCCTAGGATTCCATCTCTGGCAGGATCTGTGCTGCTTTCCCAGATGGAAAATAATGCCAATCAATGTTTGTCTGCTTCCAAATGTTATTTCCACAGGAGAGTCAGGCAGTGAAAATAGAAAAGAAAGAGTGAAAAAGCATTTTATTGGCCTGAAGGAGCACTGAGGACCATCCCTGTGGCTCAGGCCTTTAGAGACGCATCTTTGTTATTGTAGAGTCCTTGGAGGAGGTTGGTTCTGCTCGAATTTTATTCTCGTCAGAACATATTAACATAACCATGATACAGACAGATAAAGGTAGGAATGAGGAATGTAATATTTTGCATTTAAATAGGAATGAAGGAATCAAAATTTGAAGGGAAGAGCTCATGGGGTCATTACTGAAAATGTCACCTTTGATAGTAATGACAAGTCCATTTGTGAAAAGTGGMGTGTAGAGCTGCTGCTTGGCATGGGAATCATTCCTGAGTCTCCATGCAGTCACCTCGGGGACTTTGGCTCCTGGAGTGGAAGGCTGCATCCTGATGGAGCTTGGCTGGGAAACTGGCCAGGGATGGTTCCAGAGCCATYGGAGCAGCAAATCTCGACAGCAAATCTCGCCGGAGGTCGGCACTCCATCTGGGCCACCGTGGTCCTACTGATGCTCAGTGGTGCTGTGCAGGGAGCAGGCTTAAGCTCAGCCAGAGGGGTAGCCACCTCCCCAGGGGGCCAGGGGAAGCGCCTCATTTCCCCTCTGTGCTGAGTCTCCACCTGAGGCTGCCCCCAGGGTCGCGTGGAAGGGAGCAGCCTGGCTCCTGGCATCCCTGGCTTCTCTGCAGTGGAGAGAGGAAGCATGAGTCACCTGCCCCCTCCATCCCACTTCCCTGTCTCTCCTTTCTTTCTGGTGACCGAGGAAGGAAGCTTCTCTGGGGTTCAGCCTACCCCTGCCCTGCTCCACCACCTGAGTCTGTCTTCCGCCTTTCTTCTGGCTCCGCCTTAGTGGTGGCCCTTTCCCTCCTCCAAGTTCCCATCCCATCTTGTCACCCTGGCTGTCACTGATCTGTGAGCTTCACTTCCTGCCAGTATCTCTCCCATGAACTCTGGGCTTTTATTCTCCACCCCTCCCTCCAGGAGTTCAACACCCCGCCCTTCCCTCCAGCTCCCCTGGCCTGGCTCTCAGCTCTTGTCTGTGCCCTCTCCTCTGGGCTCCTGAGCTTGCGGGCTCTAGGGTGCCCGGGCTCCTGCTCACGGCCATGCCCAGTTGGCTCACTTCTCCCTCTGGGCAGGCTTGGCACTCCTCTGCCCCGACCTCTCTCTTCCTGTGGCTTCCAGGCCAGGCCTCACTCCGCGTCTGCCCTCTTTAGTTCAGTTTGCCCTSGTGAACAGCAGCTCTGATTCTGTCACACCCTGATCTAAGGCCTTTGGTGGCTCCCCATGATTCATGGATTTTCCTAAGTCCTCAGGGTCCTCCCCAGCCGGGGCCAACCACTTTCCCAGTCTCATTTCTCGCTTTTCCAGTGACGCAGTGGCYCTTCTCCTTTACACACGTGGCCCACTCCTGACCTGTTCACTGCCAGCAGCCTGGACGGTCCTTCTTCCCTTTCAGATCCAATCTTCCTTAGCTTCTCCYGTCCCCCTGAGTCCTGCACACTTTCCTGGCCACATGGCCATATGGGCACTTGTACCTTCTCTGACCCCCTCAGACCACTTCCCTGGTCCCCTCATTTCCATCTAAGAGGGCTGGCATTTATATTTTTTTTTCAAAGAGGATTCAGGCCAACYGGATGCTGTTGAGTGCTGACAGATTAACCCCCAACCCCTGCAAAATCCCAAACAAATCACCTACCTACCTGAGTTATTTGAAGGCAGAACATACATTTTCTGTCCCTGGGTCACCAGCACGTGGCACAGAGTAGCTCCTCAATAAGTACTGAATGAGAGGGTAAAGTTAGAACGTGTTACTGAGCAGGAACGTGGCAATTGTCCCTTCCCCTTCTAACTGAAATCGTGTCTCTGGCCACTGGCCAGGCACCTGGACCAGAGTRTACCTACACCTTCACATCTATGACAGCTATGCATACAGTGGGTGCTTACTCAGTGCTGCCTGAACTGGGATTTTCAAAGGCCTCATAACCTCTGCCTTTCCTTGGTGGCAGGCGATGGGAGGGAGGCGATCCTGGGGTGTCCAACCAGAAGACCCCGACCACCATCTTGTTGACCCCTGAGAGGAAGTTCCACAGCTTTGGATACGCTGCCAGGGACTTCTACCATGACCTGGATCCCACCGAGGCCAAGCAGTGGCTGTATCTGGAGAAGTTCAAGATGAAGCTGCACACCACAGGGGTGAGAGAGTTCTCCTCAGGAGCCAGCCCTGGGGGGCGGGATGTGTCCCAGCCCAGGGACCCTCAGGTTTCTCCACCACAGAAATTGAGGCCCATTTACCTTGAATACATGACACTTTCTGTGGGACACATAGTGCTTTCTGGTGTCCAGGTGGACAGAGAGACATTCAGAATATTGAACTACTCATTTGTCTGGGAAACTGGTCAGAGGGTACCCTGGCTGCAGGTTGGGTACAGGATGCTGGGCCCCCCTTCTGTCCCAGGAGTTCCCCCTTCAGTTGTTGGATTGTCGGGAGATCAGGAGCTCCTCTCTGCCCAGGGAGCAGCACAGGGAGCCCCTCAGAGGGCACCTCGGGGGCTAAGAGCATCTGGGGGTTCACGGCAGTGGTTATTAACTAATCAGTTTGGAAGAAACAACCAGTAACAGCTGACACATCAAGCCCCTGCGTGGGGAAGGAGGAGCTCAGGACACCAACACCCCAGAACAGGAGGCCCACATGCCAGGCTGTGGCCTCACTTCCATTCCCAGAAAGCCAGTTCRGTAAAGGACCTTGAAGCTCGAAGCTTCATAGGAAGCTGGAGTTGTTTTCAATTTGAGCATTTTCATCCCCTAAACTCTCTTCTGCAACTCCCCAGGACTTGGAGATGCAGAGAGTGATAAGGTTTGAGACCCCAGGCCCCAGGTCCAGGCAGCCTGAGTTTAACTGCTGCCTCTCGTACCTTCAAGACATTTAATACAAGTCACTTAACCTGCCTGTGCCTCATTCAGCTTCATCTGTAAAATGGAGACGATGACAGCACCTTCTGTGCTCATGGGGGAATTGTCAGGATTAAAGGAATGAAGATGCAGAAAGCTCTCAGAACCAGGCCTGGGACAGGGTAGGGCCRAGTCCAGGGCTCCTCCCATGAGCACCACTTTCCTTTGTCAGCCAGCAAAACTTTGCAGCTGACAAAACAAACGTCAATGGGAGACTCAGCAGCCAGCACCCTGCCTTCCAAGGTTCTGTGAGCACCGTACCTAGGCTCTCCATCTGATGCAGCTGGACTCTGGCCTGAAGTGACTCCTCTCATCTCTCCTGATGGGATTTGATGCTGAATGTCAGGGACTGTACAGCCGGAGGCAGTGCACTGTTGACTTCAAGTTCATTTTTTTTTTTTTTTTTTTTTAATTCAGAGCTGTGGCTTCCTGGTGCTCTCCGGCCTTCCTCAGCCTGGGGGCCAAAGGCTGGGTTATCTTTGCTAAGCACCAGGAGAGGGAGGTGGCAGGTGGGACAAGAATGTGCAGATATCAACACCAGGCTGGTTTTATACCCACTGCTGCTTCTCTCTCCAAAGGCAGAGCACAGTCACCTAGCCTACTTCAATCCAGAGTCCCCGGATTGTTTCCTGGCATTAATGAGCCTATTGGTCCGGGGCTTCCTCCTGGTTTTTGCTCCACTCTCTGTTCATCCTCCGCCCCACAGMCCCACAGCCCCACAGATGCTTTTCTCATCATTTTTAAAATAACCTCTGTCCACCTGGCATCTGGGCTCCACGGAGCAGTCTCCATCCAAGGACTGTGTGCAGCAGCTGCTTTGGTTTCTGGCAGAGAACTGCAGGCAGCCATATTGCGCTCCCAGTGGATTAGACAGGGCAGACCTTAAAATAGGAGCTCTTCTATTTTGGTAGCTTGGTTGGCAGCTAATCAGGGAGTGAGAACTTCATGTCTGTTTAGAGTCATGCGTGGCAGTGAGTTGACATGAATTAGGCCTCCACTAGGGGCCTCTGAGGGTGACCATGTGTGACCACATATGGAAATAGTATGTAAATCGCACCAGGCCTGGTGTCTGCCACCCATTTTCTCTTCCCAGCCTCTGCTATTGCCCTGAAACCCCYAGATGGTCCAGGGAAAAAGAGGGAGGGAGGGACGTTGGGGTCTATAAGGAACAACCAGAGCCTCTTACACAGTAAAGGGACAGTGCTGCCAGGCCCCTTYGGGTGACCACACCATCCTAGTCTATCTTGTCAATTGGGGGAACACATATATGGCTYACCAGGATTGTCCAGATCTCCAAGCATCAGTTCCCAAAGTCAGAGGTGTATCTCTCCTTTGTCTTATTATTGTTTCATCCTTTTTCCCCCCAMCAGGACCTCACCATGGATACAGACCTGACAGCAGCAAATGGCAAGAAAGTCAAAGCCCTTGAAATCTTCGCTTACGCCCTGCAGTACTTTAAGGAGCAGGCGCTGAAGGTAGGGTGGCGGTTGATGCCTGTCAGAGCATGTTAGGCTCCATCTCCAGGTTGATGCACCTGCCAGTGAGGAAGAGGCGCAGCCTGGAGGGAGACAGTGTGCAGGCTCTGGATTCAGAACAGCAGGGTGCAGCCTCTGACGTGGCTGGTTAGGGAGGGGACTGGCATGTCTGACCAGAATGAACTCTGGTAGAATGAATCTGCCGAAATCACTTCCACCAAGCAATCTGGTTACGAATCCTGCTGTCATGAGAGCAGCTGGTGGAGGAGCCTGACATAATGAGATCCTCCATGTTGGTGCCTTTGCTTTGCTTTTTTTTTTATGGGGGAGGGTGGCAGTGCTGGGAATTGAACCCAGGGCTTTGTGCATGCTAGGCAAGCTCTCTATCACTGAGCCACACCCCCAGCCTGCCTGCCTTTGCTGTCCACGCTCTGCCCAGCTACTGTGGAGCAAAGGGCTCCCCTCAGCCTCCCAGACAGCCCAGGGAAGCCCATCCCTCATGTTCTGAGCCCTTTTCCTGTGCAAAGAGTTTAAATTGGCCTGCGTGGTGATTGGTCCAACACATCAGCCGGCTCCCCTGCTTTTTAAAGCCCCACCAGGACTTGCAAAGAAACAAAATGTAATAATAAAAAATGGCTGTTTTATGTTAACCAAGGGCAGGGGTGTTTTAAAAATCATGTTTACTGAATGTACTTAATACTACTAGTCGGTACACTTAAAAATGGTTAAGATGGTAAATATCATGGCACATATATTCTTACCACAATTTTTAAAATTAGGACTTTTCAGTAAACAGAGAAAAAATGTTTACTGATCAAAGAGGAAGTGAGTTCAGTGAGAGAGTGGGTCAGACCGGGGATAACTATTTGAAACAATAGGGAATATCAGACACCATCAGGAAAAGTAATTTCTTTCTTTCTTTCTTTTTGTTTTGTTTTTTTTAAACCAGCCTGTTAATCTTGTGTCCCCAGAGCTAACTTTGATATAGAAGTGCCTTAGTGTGTGTCTAGGTTTGATCTCAGATTGGTCTAGTAAATGCGGCAGTGGGAAGGGGAAGGAAGGAAGGATCTAGCATTGATCAGAGGCTGTCTTCAGGCAGGCATTCCACAAAATTTTMTCAATTTTCCTGCGGGTTTGTTTTATTCTCCCCATTTTGCAGATGAGAATACGAGTCTGAGATCTCCGACAGTGACTTATCTGTGGTGGCCAGTGAAAAAACCTCTGATGCTCTGGTCATACCATTTATCCTCATGGGTCCCCCGATGCAAAATAATCTTAACTGAAAGTAGAAGGCCACGTGGTCCTTAGTTAGGTCATGTCATTCGCGCCCTTCCTGTTTGGACAGGAAAGCTCCCCTCATATGCTGGGCTTGCAGTAAGGTAGATGACACCCTCAATGGAGGCTGGCACCAGTAGTGCTCCTGTGGGTCCAGCACTGTTCTAGACATGAGACGACATGTGACAATTTCGTTAAGACCTTGGCCTTTAGAGTCCAGGTAGACCTGGGTCTGGATCTCAATTTTGGCTCTGCCACTTTCTAGCTGTGCAGTGGTCACAGGAACTGAGCTTGTCCAAGTCTTAGCATTCCCATCCAGGAAAGGGGCCCAGTTAGTATCCCTTCCTTTGTGGGTTCTTGCTCACAAGTGCTCAAAGTGCTTAAAGTGCTCAAAGGGACTGACACGTAGTAAGCCCTCAGAAAGTGCAGTTCTCCATCCTCCAACAACCCCTAAGTATTATTATCCCCCTTGTATAGAACTGAGGCCTGGGAGGTTGTCATTTGTCCAATGTCCAAAGACTAAGAAGTGACCAAAGGGATTTCCCTCTGAYACCTCCCTCATTTCTGAGTGACATTCAGTGAGCTCTCTTCTTGCTGAATATTCAAAAAAACAGACTCTTGCCTCACTGACCCTGGAAAGTTGCAGAGGCTAGATTCCTGGGAAGTCCCTGGTGGGAGCTGGATTCTCAGTGAAGCCTCTGGACCCACACTTCCACCTAACCCATGGCGTGTGTCTCCCTGACTGTAGGAGCTGAGTGACCAGGCGGGTTCGGAATTTGAGAACTCGGATGTCAGATGGGTCATCACGGTGCCTGCCATCTGGAAACAGCCGGCCAAGCAGTTCATGAGACAAGCTGCGTACCAGGTGAGGGCGGAGGCCGGGCAGGTGGGACGGCAGCAGAAGGACCCAGGATGCCCATGGTGGTGACGGTAGCCCTGCTCAGGTATCACCCAGTATTCACAGGCCTCCAAGGGGACAGAGAGGAGGCTATGGGAAGGGACTTGAAGGGTCCCGGGGCCTGGGACAACTCTCTACATCCTGAGAGTCAGTTTTCTGAGTCTTCAACCTCAGGCCCAGCTGGGACCCATCACCAAGGCAGTAGATGTCCCTGAGCCTCCATCACCCCTCTTAGGAGACATCCTGACGTGGTTTGTGGCCACGTGTACGAGCCTTTCTATACAAAACCCCCACAGAGTCTGAGCATAGTGAAGCGGCCGTGGAGCCCTAGTGTGGCACCCTGGGTTGGACACTCAGGGGCCTCCTCCTCGCAGCATCCAGAACATCCTTGCCAACCGTCAAGGGTGGGGAGCACCCCTCCCGCACGTGCTCCCCTTTCCCGGCTGCTTCCTCCGCTCTTCCCTTCCTTTGGGAATCTGGCTCCCTGTATGGATCTGCCAAAAATAGATTTGTTTTCATAGGCATGAGAGAAAAGGGTGGAGGTTCCAGAAAAAGGCCATTTCTTTAAGATGGAAAGGGGGAAGGAGCCATCTAGCTGTTCACAAAAGCCCTCGTCATGGAGGTAGTGTCCAAAGATGGGGCAGGGGAACACGGCTGTTGTGAAGATGCCGCCCGGTGCTCAGAGCTTTCCTCGGGAAGGAGATTCAGGATTCAGGGCATTGACTCACAGTTCCCAGGCCACAGGAAAACTTGAGCAACAAGTTTGTGACCTGATAAAGGGTCAAATTGTATTTTTAGCCTGAATAAGAAAAAAAAAAGAGGTGCAGTTCCTGGTCAGTTCACCAGGGCAGGTCATCCTAGGATGACCTCTCTGAATGGGTGAGGCCCACACTGGAGAGCCTGAGGAGGAAACCAGGCCCCGGGAGGGCTTTGGAATAAAAATGGTCCCTCAGAAAGGAAAGGGCCAGCAGCTCCCGTCGGGGACAGCTGTCCAGCCTTGTGAATTTGCTTTCTGAAGCCCAGAGGCACCCTGTAGGCAGGGTCTGGCTTTTCCATACTGGGGGACATTTTCTGGGCCAGTATTCTTGCCGCTTAGGCTTTAACCCTTGATGATTTTGCTTTGATACTTGTGTGCAGTTTACGGTGGCCCAGTGGATTTAAAGATGGCAGAGATCGTTCTTGCCAAATCATTAGTTTATTCATTAGACACGCCCACAGGCCTCTGTGTGCCTGGACTGTGGCAGGCCCTGGGTTCAYCTCCTGCCTAGRCAGGTCCCTGTGCACAGGTGGCTCGTGGCGGAGCAGTGTGGGGCTACAGGGGGTGCATTAGGGGYATGGTTGTTTTGTGGCCTTTTAGGTGGTCTCTTCAGCTTGTCTTCTGAAGAGTTCCGGGGCAGAACCAAGTCAGGCTTGCTACATCGCTCCATGCTGTACCACCCCGCCATTGTTATATAGATAAAATGATACTATACCTATACCGTGAGAGTGGATTTTATGGGTCAGCTTGACTAGGCCAGTGAAATGCTCATCTATCTGGCTAAAATTTATTCTGGGGGTTCCTAGGAGGGTGTTTTAGWTGAATTCGACATTTAAATGGCTAGACTGAATAGAGCAGATGACCCTCTCTTGCGTGGCTGGGTGTCCTCTAAACCACTGAAGGAATGAATAGGGCAGAGGACTGACCCTCCACTGAGTGGGAAAAAAAGCCTCCTGCATGTGTTTGAGCTGGGACACTGGGTTTTTTCCCTGCCTGTGGACTGAAAYTGAAATGTGGCTCTTCCTGGGCCTCCAGCCTGTGGCCTCTGGATATAGGATCTACGCCATTTGGATCCCCTGGGGCTCCAGCTTGCTGACTGCAGATCTTGGGACTTGTCAGACTATAACTGGGAGCCAAATCCTTCCAATCAGTCTCTTTATATGTATCTCTACATCCTCCTGGTTCTGTCTCTCTGGAGAACCTGGCTAATACAGCACCTGAACAAAACCCACAGTCCTCAGCCCAGCGACTACTGAGCATGTTCAAAGGGCGTCCATCTGCCCACAGAGCATCCCACCAGACTGACTTCAGGCATGAGAACCTGAAGAATGAGGTAGGATGGGTGGGCTGTCAGGGCAGCTGGAGGACTAGGCACCTCCACTCTGCTTGGGTGGGCCATGTAGAGACCCTTCCAGGCTTGTGGAGGCTTCCCAGGTACAAGTTCATGGCACAGTCGCATAGGGCTGGGCTTCACCCTCCCACCTGCCAGGTGCAGGGGAAAGAGGGGYGGAGTAGACCTGGGATGGCCCTCTGCTCACTATCCTCTGGTCTGGATAGTGAGTCACATCTTTGCCCATGAGGCCTGCAGAACCATGCATACGGGTATATTTCATCTATGGGACTCCCCGGACTTGTCTGGTCTCAGTGCTTCTTGAAGAAATGAGTCAAACCTCAATCTTTTATAATTCACAGACTCAGGATCTGTATAGACTTTTTGAGAGCATTGGTGACAAGATGGTAGTGGAAGGAACAGCTGATCCCCCTTCCAAGGCCTTTGGGAAAGATCTGGAACCAGGAGAGAGTTCTTCTGGACTGATCTAGATTTTTCTAAAGGCATCTTGCCTAAAATGTCTAACTGTAGTAGGTTCCAGAAACCTGTTAAATAAATGATGTTCCCATATGTACGATGATCTCATCTAACATGGAGACGCAGCTTGTATTTGCCTCCTAGTCTGAACAAGCTGCGGTGAGAAACAGTCCTACCAGGGGACAGAAGTGCGTCACACCCAGCAGTGGTGCAGCTGTAGCCCTCTTTAGCCTGGTGACAGGCCGGCAGAGCACTTACCAGTTCTGGCCGTTTTTCTCAGCTATGGACACAGTCTCTTGGCGGATCTTCCTGGCAGATTGCAGAGGAGGAGGGCCGTGGAGCTGACCAGTCGGGGTAAACACCCACTTCCGCGGGCTCCCCAGGGCCTTCCCCTGCTGAGTGGAGCTCTGAAAAGCTACTATGAGGAGGCTGCTCTTGCTGGCCCAGATTCCCAGAGGAGTCAGTGGGGGGTAGCAGGTAGCACGGCTCCTGGTTCAGGCACTTTGTAGAATTCCCAGGTTGCGCCTGTGGAACGTGTGTGTTCAGCAGAGGTAAGGGTCAGAAGAGTGCAGAAGAGAGGCTGGCTAGAGGGCTGGTCGATTCATTGCCTTTTCAGCTGCCTCCTGAGCACCTACTATGTGCTACAAGGACGAGGAGACCTGACCAACGCCCTTAGAAAAGGCACTGTCTGTGTAGGTGGAGACAGAATCTGTGAAGTGTGCGGCCAGGGCCCCTGTGGAGGGACACCTCACAGTGGACGAGGAGCAGTGTGGTGCCAGTTCCAAAGGCAGAATCAGTGAAGAGCATGTTCTGCTCCAGCTGACCTGGCCTGATCCCAGGCAAACAGAGCCACGGGTCTCCAGAGGGCTGCGGCTGTGAGTGGCTGCAAGAAACAAAAGTTTTCAGGGTCTGGCCCGTTCCCTCCTGTTCTTGGAATCTTAAGTGAGTCTGGGACTCCTCCTGGGGAGATGGAATTTGTGCAGAACCAGCTGCCTGCCCTGCCCCCACCCTGCAGCTCTCCTCTGTGGCACTGCAGGAGTTTGTTGGTGGGAACAAGGTCCCTCTGCTGGGAAGTGTGACAAAGCCGGTGCTCGCTTTGTCTGGTCACCCAGACACTGAACAGCCCCTTTCTGACCTTGCTGCTTGCTCCCCTCTGGAGTCGGCTCCTCTTTACCCCTTGTCTGTATCTTCTCCCAGATGCAGTGAGGAACCCCTGTCAGGAAATGTGTCACAACTATTGCCATGGAAGCCAGGCCAGACCAGCTGGGGAAGGAAAGGACAGATGAAAGGTGTCCCCTGCAGGTCCATGCAGTGCTGTCTGGGGCAGACTGGGGTTAGCTTGGTATCTCTTTTTGATATTAGGATATGGGAGCGTCCCCACTGCCCTGCTGGGTTGTCACCTGCACACCCAGACGCCCTCCTGTTGTGTCATTTCACTGGAGGCACTTCATGCCTCTGGACTTCTTGATTTGATTTTCCATGGCAAGATTTTCCCATCTAAGTCGGAGTTCCCGCTTAGAATCTCAGGAACAGGGCAGGCCGAGGAACCGGGAGTTCACATGTAGCTCCTTCTCCCCTCCTGTCCCCTTCGGTCACAGYGCAGGCCCTTGTCTCTCTAGGTTGATATCCCAGACAGACTAACAGTAAGGTGGCCTTTGAGTCAGCAGGGTCTTTGCCTGGGACCTTTAACACCGAGTCTCTGGGCTGCACCGTGGGGCTCTGTCCCCRCAGTCCTCACCGCCCCCGCTGCCTAGTTTATTTTCTCGTCTCAACTTAGCAGGAGACTGTGATCCATGCAGGCCCAGCTGTTCCTTGGCAGCCAGTCTTCCCTGTTCCCCGTCCGTGCTGGGAAGCTGGCCTCCTGCTCTTCCAGATGCAAGAATGGAAACTTCAAGGCATGAGCTGTCCCTTAGAAGGGTTCCTTCTGGTCTTATTTTGGATTTATTCTTCTGGGACCCTTGAGACTCAAGAGTTCGAGGTTTCTTGGTGGCACTGCACATGTGTGACCCACACCCTGTTTCCTTGGGCCCCTTAACTGTCAACCATCTTGGTGCTGAAAGGATGTCTAATGTGACCCTGGGAGAAGGTGAAGCTGGGGAATGGAGACTTTTAATTGCTTCAACAAGCAATGGAAAAATCTCTTCATGCCTTAGTCAGTGGCCTGTGGACCAGTGTCACGTAAGGGTGGCCCTGGCCTCTTCCACCACTGGACCAGGCTGATGGGCCTCCCTCTGCCTATGTGGGTCCTGAGCAGCAGGGGTGGAGGCTCCCTGTGGATGGTGTAGGACGTAGGTGTGGCTCCCATCTGGTTTTATAAAGCCTGTCTTCCAGGAGGGSCTCTGCCACTTGTGAGACATTTGATATTTACGGAGTGATTTTCTGTCACCAACATGCGGTAGGACACMATAGCCTACATTTCCTTGTGGGTGTGGTTGTAATGGAGAACTTCTGACAGCCCATTCAGGCAGTGAGTCATCTGATACTGTCCCAGAGTCATTGGTGAAACACGGTGCCTCAGAAACGTCGAGGAGGGAGTGTGAGAGGCACGACAGAGTTTTGTCACAGTTCCAGGGMTGGCTGGGGACCTGTAACTAGAGGCACTAAGAGCAGGAGAGCCAGTAGCAATTTAAAGAGCCTAGTCTACAGGTCTCATRTTATGGGTTGGGTTTGGAATGCCCCAAAGCTCAGGTGTTGAATCCTGGGTCCCCAGGACAGTGATGTCCAGAGGTGCGGATTCTGGGAAGTGATTGGATGATGACCTCATTTGGTGGACTAATCATTTGAATGGACTACTGGGTGCTGGTGGAAACTGTAGGCAGGAGGAGCATGGGTCACTGGGAGGGTGTCCTTGAAGACTATATCATGTCCCTGGCCTCGTCTTTCCACCTCTGCTGCTGGGCTGCCATGAGCTAACAGCTTCCCTCCACCACACCCTTCTGCCATACTGTCCATCCCCACCTCAGACTCAATGCAACAGAGCTGGCTGACCATGGACGAAAACCTCTGGAACCAAGATAAATCTTTCCTCCTTTAAGTTGTTCTTGTTTAGTTTTTTTATCACAGCAAAATGCTGATTAATATTACTCCAGACCCCAGCCTGTGCTGGTGCCACCATTTAAGGGTTGGACACCTTCCAGAAGGACTGTGCTGCTCTAACACTGAAAGTCTCRTGTCCCAGGAAATCCCTTTGTTCTGGGCACTCTGGGACAGCTGGTGCGCCTACTGCTCTGGGCCTTGGTCTTTGTACGTTAAGTGAAGGAGGTGGACAAAGTCTCCGAAGGCCTGTCACATTTCTGATGTTCTACCTGAATCTGCTTGTTTCTTGCCCTTATGGACCCTCCTCAGCCCCTCCAACCATGGCTGTAGGCCACTCCTCCTGAGGAGAGGTTTTCGTGCAGGCACGACATTAGGAAAACTTCCATGCCTGGTCCATGGGAAGAATCCACTAAACCTTGAGGGTCTGGTGTAGAAGAGGGTGCAGGAAGGGGCTTCCTCCCAAGTGGATATGGCATGAGGGCAGGTGTCCTTGGAAACATCAACAAAGCAGCACAGTGGTAATGGGGACCATGTGTGCTCTGTCCCTCTTGTTGGTGGCCAAGGAAACCCCGTGTGCCTGAACAGCCTCCACGGTGGACCTCCTGCTCCAGCTCAGGGCSGTAGGAGGTGGCAGGGATCTGGTTACAGGCCCAGGCCCGTTTCTCTGAGCACCTTCAGGAAGGTGGTCCTGGGGCTTCATGGCTGGCCCTTCTTAGGGCCTGGAAGGGGCTTGACTGGGACAGGTCACGTGTCACAGAACGGAAGCATTTCTGCCTCCTGGAGGCCAGGATCCCAAATGCAGATGGAGGCCACAGATGAGAACTTGGGGACCAAATTTTTACGACTACATTTGATATGTAGATGCAATATAAACTAGAAAAGAATACAGGCTTTGATAAGATACTTGCCGATGACTGCCCATATTTAGAAAATGAGGGACTCCTTGGGGTTCCAGGAGGGGCTTCCTCATCCAGGAGTGACTGCTTATACATTTCCCCAAGCAGACAAATGGYGGGGCCTCCCAGTGCTCCACAGAGAGCAGATCAGATCCTGTGCCAGTCAGATGCTCGCCTAGCTGAGGTCTACAAGGTGGGGTCTGCTGTATTGCCCACTGTCACYAGGGAACAGATCACCTGCTTCTGACCTGGGATGATTTTCAAAGTTTGGAGACTTTTGTAACTCTGTCCTTCCCACTTGGTGTAGAACCCCATCTGCACCCTACAGCCCAGAGTCACCCCGCCTCCTCCCTGGTACTTCTCAACTCTGGGCCAATCAAGGCCCAAGTGCAAGAGGTCCTGTGCCCAGCGCCTTGTGTTTCTTGAGGGTGCTTGTACAATTTCCTTAGCCACCCTGAAGTGTTTGGGGCTCAGTATGCCAAAGTCTGCGTGGGACTGTCCCAAACATGCAGAGCGTGAGTGTCCCTTCCTTGGGAGTGTCAGACCAAGGAGACAGCAACAAAGCAGCACAGTGGTGACAGGAGCCATGTGTGCTCTGTCCCTCCTGTGGGCCGCCTGGTATCTCTGAGCCAGCCTGCCCAGGGAGCCCCGGTCCCAGCCTCAGCTTCTGTCTTGCAGGCAGGCCTGGCCTCTCCTGAGAACTCGGAGCAGCTCATCATTGCCTTGGAGCCTGAGGCCGCCTCCATCTACTGCCGGAAGCTGCGTCTGCACCAGATGATTGAGCTGAGCGGCAAGGCGGCGGTCAATGGGTACAGCGCCAGTGACACAGTAGGAGCGGGGTTTGCACAGGGTACCTCTGCTCTCTCTCTCCCTCCCTCCCCCCGCCCCGGGTGTTTCTCTGAGGATGTTAGAGGCACTTAACGCCATCAGGAAGGATCAAGATACCTTAGGAGGAGGCTGGCTTTAAGCCTCTCAGTGTCAGCCTCCCTTCCTGGCCTCTTGGAGGACTAAGCAGTGGTCACCTAGCATATCACCCATAAGTGCCTGGAGGGGCTTCGTCAAGGATCTGAAGGTAGCTAGAGAGTTGTTCATCAAACCCGGGCCTCATGCTCCTTCGGCAAACTCTCTACCACTGAGCTACACCCCCAAGCCTCAGCTTTCTAGCCCTGGATCTTTCTTGCCCACTAGCTGATTCTCCCTCTAATCCCAGTTTCCTGTTATCATTCCCTCCGTTAAGACTGTCCATTTATTTCTGACTCACTCAGTGGGGCTGCTTTCTGGGTGAGGAGCTCATTGTGTGTCTTAGCAGAGGTTAGAGTACAGATGGAGTGGGCCGACCTCCTAACCAGGGGAGGCTCACTTACTGTGGGAAGAACACCCACTAGGGGAGGCTCAGGGTGCGTATTTGGAGGAAGTTTCCTTTTTAATAGTAATTTTTCAACTAGTTACCTGCATGCAAGTGGGTCACAGTCTTGGTCCCCAGAACTGTTTTCCCTGGTGTCCAGGGCTCTGGGGGCCTCTCAGGGCTTCAGCATTTGCAGACAGACTGGGTCAGGGACAAAGCACCACATGAGCATGGGTGCCAGTGGGTCCTGGGCTCCATAGTTGTAGGCTCTGCTTTATTCCCAGATGAAGACCAGGAAGCCTGCGTCTGTGTCCCAAGGCCCTGGCCTCTGCTGACTCTGAGAAGATACACATTCCTGCCCCTGCATGTGGGGGTCTTTTCCAGGCTGTTCCTCTTCCTCTTCACAGGGGCAACTGCCCTGGGAGGGTCACCTCTTTGCATTTGAATCCCTGAAGTTAGGAGTCTATAAACCTCAGCCAGGAGGCAGTAGTAGGTTTGTTTGTCACSAGGCTGCTGCCACAGCCTGCTAGGGCTGTGTGATAGTGCCTTAGAGCTGATTTCCCCAGAAATAATGAAACAGGCTTCCCTTTAAATCCTAGGCCTGGATTACCCCCTCGTCATGCTGTAGCTCCCCAGGGGAAGTCGAGCGAGGCTGGCCTTACAGCTCACTAGGTCAAACACGGTAGCACTGACATACTTGGGACAACATGGACACGTTTAGGTTTCCTTCTTTATTGTTTTCATTGGAAAAAGGGGGAAAGACTGAGCTTATATCTTACATGTAAATTCTCAGTTGTTCATGAAAAGAAATTCGTGTCAGGATCAGCTAATTCTGGAATAGCTCTTCTTATGTCCCCTGTGAACAGAACACATTTTCGGGAGAATCTGATTTTTGATCATGGCATTCCCCAAGAGCTCAGTTTTGTGTTTCTTCTTCTTTAACAAATCACATCTCCCCCACAGGGCTCTGTGTCTGTGTCCTGTGGCTCGTGGAATGTGCTGCTGTCTCTGTGTGCTCAGAGGGCTTTCTAGATCTTGAAATCCTCAAATTATTGGACACCACATTTCCGAGGGGCCCTAAGGCAGGGGATCTGGTGTCAGCCTTGCTTTACAACTGGGAAGCCTCTCCCAGAAGGAGGGAATGCTGCAGCAGAGCACTTATTCAGGATGCCCGAGGTGCTAGGAGGCTCCCTTATGAAGGGGGTCCAGTTAGGCCCCGAGGAGTAGAGCTGGCACACAGCTCCCTGAATGCAAGGTTTGCCATTGGTGCTATTTTATTGTAAGGATGAGATCAATAAAGTACACCGTTGTCTCCACCTCCCCCCACACACACAATAGTGGGCTTAATCTGCCTGAAAGAAATGGGATAATTTTTTGAGAGCTCAGTACGTGTTCTGTTCGCCTCACTTGGCTGTTTTCATGAAGGCCCTCATATGTGTCATCTAGACTGTCTCAGACAGCAGATGCCCACTGCAAGGTCTGTAACAGAGGTTCATCCCAAGGAAACAGGAAAGAAGCCCTGAGTTTGGGAGCCCTCCTGGGAAACTTCCCACTCCAATCCAACCTAGGCCTTGAGCAATTGGAGTCAGCCGGGCTGACGGGGCATCTGAAGTTCTGATCCCCAGAGAAACTGTTTTGCAAACACTGTGCTCCTTGCAGAAAGAGGATGGCGGGCCAAGGGTGCTGTATTGGGTAATCAGCAACCAAGGGCAATCCAAAGTCAGCAGCACCAGCTCAGGAATTAAAAAAATCCCACCAACAACATGGTGGTGGGGATGGGTGGCAGAGCCTTCTTCCTGGTCTAACTCAATCATGGTAGTTGTCATTTGATGAGCACCAGGTTTCATAGTAGGTGCTTTGCCTTCAATATCACCTACTCTATGCCAACAAGGAACTGAGGCCAACTATCAACATCCCCACTTTATGGATGAGGAAGTGAAGCTCAGAGGATTAAGTGATTTGCCCCAACTCCCACCTTGGCTGTGTCCTTTCACAGTGTCTTTCTCATTTCTAACATCTCATTGTTCTAGTTAATCAAATGTCCCTGTAAATCATGAGTGTGACAGGGTCTGTGGGTTCATTTTGAGCCGCAAGACAAGAGTTGCAAGTTCCTTCACCTCGCCTGACCTGGTTTCCTCATCTGAACAGAGGACAGTGGTTTGTACCCTATCCTTCTCATGTCCCAGCACCCAAGCCACAGCAGGGCCTGTGGACTCAAGCAGAGGTTGTCCCCAGGATTCTTGAGCAAGTGCCAGGCCAGGCAGAGTTCAGATGCCACCTTGTGGCTGAAGCGCCACCTTGTGGCTGAAGAGCACACTGTCAGGAAAGGGCTCAATCCATTTATCTGGGATCCAGATGCCATACCCCCACTTTCCTTTGTATCGGACAAAGTTCCTTGATGTGAAGTTGTTTAACTGAGCTCACTGCAGCCTGATTTCCAGGGCTTCCTCCTTGGGGCAGTAAAGCGGGGACATTGATTTTATTAACCCATTCCCCAAACAATGTCACCAGAGGAAGGGAAGTCATCAGAGTGAGCTTTCAGCTAGGCACAGGCCAAAGCTGGCCAGGAGATGAAGAGATGAAGGCTGCTGTGAAGAACCACCTTCTCTCGGAAGAACTGGCTTTGTGACTCCGAATGCTGTTTATTAATTGTTTTGATCACCTATAAGTAGACGTGCCATTCCTGAGCCTCCTCCTGCTGTTATCTCTGCCAACTGCAGATGACTGTCTGCATTTTCCTGCTTCCTTACCCATCGTCCTTTTCTTTCTATTGGCTGCTAGCTAAGGAACACGTACGGCGTAATCGTCAGAGTCGGACCTTTTTGGTGGAGAATGTCATAGGAGAAATCTGGTCAGAGCTGGAGGAAGGTAGTATTCTCGAATATCCTTTGCCCTTGCTAAATTTTATGTATTTATTATTTTGTGTGTKTGCTGCTGCTGTTTTTGCACTCCCATTTGTTCCTTCTGCACTGTGGGAAAATGTTCAAAATCAGTGGGTTTGGAAGGCCACTCACCCAGGTGGAGCCCTTTTGGGAGCTATAGTTTTGCATGTTGTAAAATCATGCACACTCTTCCCAAGAAAGGTAGGAACTAGAACTCCCCCGTCCTGAAGTAAGTCTGGTGTTCAACAGCAGGTAATGGTATGTGCCTGGTATGTGGCACGGTGTGACATGCATGCTTTGGTCATCCAGAGCCCTCTTCTGGGTTCTTCATCATCCATGCTTCGCTGGCCCTCTGAATAACCTGCTAGGCTGCTGATTAGCAAAACCATGTGCTAGCCAGCAGTGCCAGTGGTGCTTAGCTGGGTAGACGAAGTTATCATCCACCAGCTTGTTTCAGAACGGGTTGACAAGTGGTTCTATGTAAAGAATGGCTGTGTCTGTACCAGGTGACAAGTATGTGGTTGTGGACAGTGGCGGAGGCACCGTAGACCTGACAGTCCATCAGATACGGCTACCCGAGGGACACCTAAAGGAACTGTATAAAGCAACAGGTGAGCCACAGCATGGCTGGTTTTCTCACCCATGAGCCCGTTCCAGATAGTTCCAATTCACTCATTTCAGACTCTTTCTGAAAGTGCTTCTTTCTCTTGCTGTCACCAGCCTGTGGGACCACAGGGGGTGCAGGACATTCACATCTCCACCAATAGGAAAATGCAGTTAAATGTTCTTTTAAGCTCAAACCACTTCCAATTTGAGTTTTAGCATTAGGTGAGTCTGGCCAAGGGAGCTTGTTTCTGAAAGTTCTGATGTCACCTATGATTTAAGAGCTAAGGCCAGCTTTCTACGAGGTCTCACAACACCTCATCTGGACCAAGGGCACCAAACCGAAGCTTGTTCTTGCTCCTATTTAATTAAATGTATTGATCTTATTTGAAACATAATTGATTTTAGACAGACTGCTGATGATTTCTGTGGGAAAAAATAATCTCTGCATATGGAGTGAGAACCTAAGGGTTCTGCAGTCCGCTGGCTGAGCGGGTCCAACTTTGCATTTCTTTGTGCATCAGAGGAGGACACAGTGTGGGCTTTTTTCTCAGAGTTTGGATTTGGTTTCTGATGGTTTTTGACATCATGGGCTCCCATTTCATTCCTGACCTAGGTGGACCCTATGGATCCTTGGGAGTAGATTATGAATTTGAGAAACTTCTGTGTAAAATATTTGGAGASGATTTTATTGAACAGTTCAAAATCAAGCGTCCTGCAGCCTGGGTCGACTTAATGATTGCCTTTGAGTCTCGAAAGAGAGCCGCTGCTCCAGACAGAACCAACCCTCTCAACATCACCCTGCCCTTCTCCTTCATCGACTACTACAAGAAGTTCCGTGGGCACAGCGTGGAACACGCCTTGAGGAAGAGCAAGTGAGCTGGCTACCTTGGCTTGGGACGGTCTCGGGTAGATTGTGTTGGTCAGAGGTGGGAGGGTGGTGAGTTCCAGTCCCACACATTCTCTATCTTGGGCAAATGACTTGACCTCTCTACTACTCAGGTTTATTTTTTTTTTTTATATAATCTAGAAAGTGGGGATAAGAGTTCTGCTTACCTCCTAGTGTTGTTGTGAGGATAAAACCCATTCATAAACATTAGGTACTAAGCACATTATTTGAGACCTGAAAAGTGTCACCTTTGTGCTAGTTATTATGTTTTCTAAAGAATATCAGCTTTACGAAAACAGGGAAGTTTAGTTTTGGTTACTGTTGAAATCCCAGTGTCTAGAAGAAAAGCAGGTACATAGTAGGGACTCAATATAATATTTGTTGAATAAATCCCATGGGAATCTGGGTTTCCCGCTTCTCTGAGACCCCTGGTTACAAGCAGGTATTTGTTGTAAAATAAATGTATTAGGAAGATGGTTTTAAGCTGAATTTAAAAAAAGACAAAATCATAGGTTTTAATAACTTTAAAGTTTTTTTGATATATATAAATATATCTCCGTATCCACAGGGAAATGATTACTACAGTCAAAGAAATTTACATGTCCATCACCTCCCATAGATACCTTCCCATAATGGAAAATGAAACTCCATCACCCAGCTTCAGGATTGTTGGCTCCCACTCAGCCTACATCTCACGACCCTCTCCCTGTTATTTTAAAGCAAATCTTAGATAGGTTGTCATCAAATCCATAAATATGTCAACAGATGGTTCTAAAGGAGATGAATTTTGAATTGTAACCATGACATCATCACACCTAAAGTTAATAATTCTTCGATATCAAATACCCAGTTATCATCAACAGTTTTTCCAACTGTCTCCTAAAGGTTTTCCAATTTGCATCAGCATCCTAATGAACCTCTCGAGTCTCACCTGGTATATGGGTTCCCCCCCACCCTTTTTTTTTAATTAGATGACAAAATTGGATGATTGTGCTCAAGAGTTTCCTACAATCTTGGTTTTGCTCACTGCATGCACTTGGTGTCCCAGAGCTTTTCATTCTGCCCCTGGTATGTTTTTGCTTACAGATAGACTTAGTGGTTTAATTGGATTCAAGTTTGGATTTCTGGCAAATCTACTTAGCAGGTGGTGGTATTTCCTATTGCATCCTATCAGGGGACTGATGAGCATTACCTGGGTCTGTTGATTCACTGGGTGACCACTGGGTTATCATAGGAATTGACAACTCTTTAGTTAGTGTAGCTGGAATACTCCAACAGGRACAAAGTTCTGCCCTTTGTAGTTTGGTTGCCCAGTCTGAACAGGAGAGAAGAAACCTTGATCTTCATAACCTGCCCTGTGAGGGGGTGAGGCAAGTGCCATTATCCTTGACTTCCAGAGAAGACCAGGCTCAGAGAAAACAGAGGCCAAAGTGCCTGAAGTCCCATAGCTACTAAGCCGTGGAGCCAGCCTGGAGCCCAGCCACCTGGCTTCCCGTCCAGAGCTCCTGCTGTTCCACACTTCTGCTTCTAGACGTGTTGTACGTCCATGCCATGGGACAGCTACCTGGAGGGCTGAGGAGATACGCCTCAGCACACACACTTGTAGCTTATGTAGCACAGTGAAAGCATCTCGTGGGCCCTTGGCACGCTGGTGTCCAGAGGGCAAGCACCTCCTTCCTTCTTGCACTAGACTTTGGCCTCCATCATCCCAGGAGAAGGTTGGAAGCAAAGAGAAATATAAGAGGTTACGTCAGTTTTTGAGGTTCTGAGGGTCCGGGCCCTGGCAGTTGAGGGGGTTTCCAAGGGTGCTTTGAAAGTCSAAGGGTGACTTTGAAAGTCATTTCTGCCCCATGATGTGACCGATGTTCTGCCAGGGCACATGCCAGATCCGAGCAGCCCTGGCACCTGCAGGCACTCACTCTTGTTCCCGTCTGTGTCACCTTCCCGCAGCGTGGATTTTGTGAAGTGGTCCTCCCAGGGCATGCTGAGGATGAGTCCAGATGCCATGAATGCCCTTTTTAAGCCAACCATAGACAGCATCATTGAGCACCTCCGTAAGTATCCGTGGGSCTTGTCCAGCATCACCAACCGGTACCATGCAGTCGGGTTGGCAGGGGATCTGGGTCTGGGGGCCACAGAACTCAGGGAGGTTGCTGGACACAGGCTGTGCATCCCTCTCCTACTGCAAAGCAGCTGAGAACCTGTCCTGGGCTTTCAGTTTGGTCCCAGAGGTCAGAGAGCTGGGAGCTCTGAAGCCCTGTCATCCAACAGCCACTCTAGGGAGCGCATCCTGTTTGTGTGACCAGGACAGATTAGGAATCCTACCTACTAGGGGAGAAGGAACTGTGGTGAGAACCAAGAGGGCCACCAGAACCTGGCCATGCTGTCAACCTGCGGAGTTGGTGGCTTTCACCCAGGGACACTCAGTGAATCACTGGGGACCTTTTCCAGGATCCAAACCTCCCATCTTCTTCCTACCCCCACGACCTTCCAAGTCTGAACCTCTAAAGGTGGGATGAGATTTTTATGCAAATCAGAGAATCCTGGCTCTAACAGCAGGCCCTGGCCTACTCCACTGTGGAAGTGATTCGTTTTGGAGAGATTCCTTTCTCCATAGAAAGTTCCACTTAAAATGTTCACTGCCTCTCTGTTCAAATGGGCTTCTACTCAGCAGCTGCTCTGGCCTTTACGGCTGAGCACACTGGTGTGAAAACTCCTTTTCTACGAAAGACCCACTTGATAAGAACTCAATGGCTCAGACCAAGCCAGGCTCCCAGGGGCCCAGGTGGTTTCGTCTCTTCCCAGAGACGAGCAGCCTGCCTCTCCCTTGCTTGCTGGCTTTTGCTGGTGTGACCTTCCCACATCTTCTTCCCTTTCAGGGGACCTGTTTCAGAAGCCGGAGGTTTGCACGGTCAAGTTYCTCTTCCTGGTGGGTGGCTTTGCCGAGGCGCCCCTCCTGCAGCAGGCAGTGCATGCTGCCTTTGGTGACAAGTGCCGGATCATCATCCCCCAGGACGTGGGCCTCACCATCCTCAAGGGYGCCGTCCTCTTCGGCCTGGACCCCGCCGTCATCAAGGTGCGCAGGTCCCCGCTCACCTACGGGGTGGGCGTGCTGAACCGCTACGTGGAGGGCAAGCACCCTCCCGAGAAGCTGCTGGTGAAGGACGGCACKCGCTGGTGCACCGACGTGTTTGACAAGTTCATCTCTGCCGACCAGTCGGTGGCCCTGGGAGAGCTGGTCAAACGTAGCTATACCCCKGCCAAGCCCTCTCAGCTGGTCATTGTCATCAACATCTACAGCTCTGAGCACGACACCGTCAGCTTCATCACTGACCCAGGGGTGAAGAAGTGTGGCACGCTSCGCCTGGATCTCACGGGGACCAGCGGCACAGCAGTGCCTGCCAGGAGGGAAATCCAGACCCTCATGCAGTTCGGGGACACCGAGATCAAGGCCACAGCCATCGACATAGCCACCTCAAAGAGTGTCAAAGTGGGGATCGACTTCTTAAATTACTAACCATCCTTCCCTGCCGCCTGCCCCTAGGACCAGCTCATCTGCATCTGTTGACCTTATCCTTGACTGTCCTGACCTTGACCTTGACCCTTGCCATTGCCCACCTGAACTTTAGCAGGAGAACAACCAGGGTGAGAAATAACTAGGGATTTTTGGAGGGTACACTGGAGTCAGAAAAGCGGTCAGAAATYACGATTGAGGTCTAGGAACAGGAAATTCAAGGATCCTAGAAGGGCAGCTAGTTTTCACAGGTACCAAAATGGTGCACCAACCACCCGACAAGGGGATCGGTACAGTCTGYAGCAGTGGTGGAGCCTTGCTTTGAACAGATCTCTGCCAAGTAGAACTTAGAATGCCCTATTGCCTTCTTTCTAGATTTGAAATGAGATCTTTGAGTCAGGAGAAAATCTGAGATCTTTTCTTTTTAGTTTTTTTTTTTTCCTTTTTCTTTTTGGATAGCAGTCARTATAAAATGCCACCCATCTGTAGTCAGTTTCTTCTCATCCTGGAATGAACAGYGGTGACTCAGAGGGAACTTGGAGCATCGTCAGCTGGTGGGAGAAGACTGCCTACACTGGGCGCTATTTTAGGTTCTGAGATAATTTAAATTCCAAGAAGGTTTGGGGAAAAATAACTATAGCCTTGGCTACCCCACTAGGATTTTGGGGAGTAGGAATGCTAACACCTCAGCTTTTCAGCAGGTAAAAATTTGCTTTGATGGAAAAAGATATTGAAGTTGCTGCCTTACACCAAATCACAGTATTCACCCCTCATCTGTGGGGGATACATTCCAAGATCCCCAGTAGAGACATGAACCGCCCCCCCACAGTACCAAACCCTATATATACACACACTGTTTTTTTCCCTATATCTCCATATCTGTGATAAAGTTCAATTTATAAATTTGACACAGTAAGAGAATAATAGTAATAACAAAATAAGGAAATCGTACAAACCAACTGTAACACAATTTATATGAATGTGGTCTCTCTCAAAATATCTCATTGTACTCTACTATATTTTTGGACCACAGTTGACCATGGTAACTGAAACCAGGGGAAACTACTACAAATGTTGTGATCTAACTCACAGAATGCCAAATCCTGATTTCTGAGTTCAAAAGTAATTCTAGTGAATCTTGGAGGAATTCACTGGAGAACATGAGGCCGCCATGGCTTTGTTCACATCTCCTAGTCCCCGACTCCAGAATAGCCCTTAACCTTGAAAAGCATCCAAACTTTAAATTAGCCCCCATTCTTCCTGCTCGTCTCCATCCCCCTGAGAGTTCTGACCATTCATTTCCATCTTGGGAAAGGAATACATTGGTGAAATGTCAAAGGAGAGTCTGTTCTATGAGATGCTTCATTAAAAATCTCCAGTTTTTCAAATCCATCTAAATTCATGTGTAGATCTAGACTTGATGAATCAAGCCAGTTGTTTTCTTTTTTCTCTCTCTTTTTTTATTAGAGCTTTATGATCATCGGGTTCATCCAGACAAACTCATACAGGCATGGATATTGATTTTGGTTCATGATCCCTCCCTTTCCCTCTCATCCTTCCTCCCCCTCCCCATTGCCTTCCTCTACTAACTTCCTTTCATTCGCCTATTAATTTGCACTTGATGGTTTCTTCTATTGTCCTTTCCTTTATTTCACTCTGGCTTCTGCATGTGAGAGAAAACATCTGACCTTTGAGCTTCTGGGCTTGGCTCTCACTTGGCCTGATATTCTCCATTTCCATCCACTTACCAAGCCAGTTCTTCTCTAAAGCAGGTCTGTGGCTTGCCTGCGTCAGAATCGCCTGGGTGCTCGCTTAGAGCAGGTTCCTGGATCCCATCCCTCTTAAGCAGAAGCTATTTTGAAGGGGTCCAGAATCTGCATTTGTAGTGTATACCAGAAGTGAATGGGGTTCAGCTGGAATTGGAGAATTCCTAACTTTAGTTTGTCAACGCTGAAGCACAGGCCACAGCCTGAGCCCTCTGTTCTTCCCTTCGGAGTTTTCTTAGGGAAGAGGGCGGACCCCAGGCCTTGTCCTCTTGGTAAGTGGGGTTGGGGCTCCGTCACCTAGGATGGCCCTTTAAATTCTCACTAGGTGGTCTGGCAGGGAAAAGATGTCCTGAAAGGCAGCCAGTGGGTCTGCATTTTTCCCTCCCCCACCACCCAAAGTCAGTTTTCGCCAACATTCAGGAGCCAACTGAGGACAGAGACTCAAGGATCTGAATCACAGTCCTTCTGGTCTGTTCAAAGCAGTCTTTTCCACCTGCTGGAAGTCATTCCGATTTCAAGCCACTGGAGGCATGCATAGCGAACGGAGAAGGAGGGAATGGCTTTGAATGCAAGTTGGATTCGCAAACCATCACCACAGCCAGGCCAATATGCAGATTGTGAGCAGCACTTTGGGTTTCTTTTTAGCCCATCTTCTTTTTCACTTCGCCTGCTGCAGATTTCCCTGCTAGAAAGTGAAACATGAATAAGCCACAGAACTGGAGAAAGCCAGTTCCATAACTTGAGTCGTGAGATTTCATAGCCAGGCACCAAGGTGTGTTTCTCGGGGTCTCCTGCTGCCTGCTCTGCTTCAAAAGCTTAATGTTGTGTGTCCCTCTTTGGTGTTGCCAGCCACAGTCTGCAAATAAGACTTTTCCATTTAGTTATGAGTAATATAATTTTATGTACATACAGTGTCGAAATCTTGTACAGAATCTTTATTTCTACAATATGTTTTTCTTATTTTAAAAAAGGAAAATGTTCTTTGATTTTTGTTGATATCACTGCCCTTAATATTTCATATTTTCATTTCTTAATTGCTCTCACTAACCACTGATTTGCACCGATACCAAGTGRTGGATTATGTGTGCAAGACTGAGCATTAGGCAGAGGTGCCCTAGGGTCAGCTAATACTCTGAACACCTGGACCACTTGGATCAACAGCTTCTTCAGTTTTCGCCAACTTCCACATGCACATTCTTTCCAAAGATTCAGGAGCTATATTTAAGGGAGCGTAATGTATCAATTCTCCTGTCCAGACTTTGAGAGCTGAACATTCTGGTTTGGTAACCAAATATGACTGTGCAGAAAAACCTATGAAAACTCTTTGCATTCTGTTGGGTTGTCAACCTGTACTTGTGGGGCAAAGTAGTGACTCTGAGGACAAAGTGTGGTCCATGTGTGGATGTGTTCAGTACACCAGGGTCAAAGGCAGGAACCAAGTGGTACATAAACCGAGCTTTTCTTTTGGGTAAGGATGAGGCAAGTCCCTTGTTTGCTGCTAACGCAAAGCTCTTCCTGCCTTGAATTAAGGATGTCTCCTTGTCTACTAGTTCTCTTCAATGAACTGATAGAAATCTACGGTGTTGGCAAACTGATGATAGAGAAGGGGTGGCAATTTTGCTGGACTTTCTTCTGGCCCCAGAGATGCAGCCCTAGTAATCCAACTCCTTAGACAAGACTCCCAAATCCATCCCTTTCCCCTATTGAAATATTTTAGAGTAAGAGCACTGGATAAGTACACTTGGACACATTTCCTAATCTTAGAAGGTTTCTAGAAGGCCTGTGGTCCTGACCCATTACTCAGTTGCTCCTGGCATATTATTTGATAGTCACCTTTCTTGGAAGCAGAGTTGTTGATGTCCTTTGTCACTGCCTTTTCTGTATGCAGGAGGCATTAATGAATGACAGACAACTTACAGACATGATAGGAAAGAGGAGGAATCACAAGAGTGTATTTGCAGAGTGTTGGCTGAGTCCAGATTACAGAGCCTGCCCCACCCTTAGAATGTTATTTAGACCAAGTTTAGCTTTTAGAGTCCAGGTCTGGTTAATTGCCAGGGTAGCAAAGAATCGCATGCACCAATATAAACAGGAGTCAAATGCATTATTAGTCCAAGATCAAACTTCACATTGTAGAGATGTAATCGCCGTGAGTAAGCTGCCTACGGATGCTGGGAAATGACTTAAGTGGATGACTAGTATAAAAGTCKTTGGCCTTCCTGTCACTAACACCTCTCATCTGCTTGAAGTATGGAACACTGTTCTACAATCTCAGCCATTCAGGGTCTTGTTCACTACAAGATAGATCCAAACTTCACAGAATGTCGCAGCAGTTCACAACTAGACAGGACCGTGTCTGCAAACTCTCTTATCTTCACTGATGTCTAATAAAGTAAAACTCTGGATCTCATATGGCCCAGGATTTTTTTTTTACCCCCACTTTGTTTTTGTATGTGGAATTCTAGATGGGTCATTACTGATGCCCTATCCACCCCCTCTCCAGGATGATTTCCRGGTCTTTCCTAGAGGGCAATAAGCTTTAGTAACAGTCATTCCAACATGACTGGCCCTTCCTTTCCTGGGAACCAAGGCTCCATTCATGTCCACAGAACCCTGTTTTCTTCCAAACAGGAAGAAAGTAGTCTAGCCAGAGAGTAGGCCCATATGCAGAGTGGCCACGGGCAACTCMACTGCACCCAAATGAAAGTCACTAAAGAACACAGAAGGCCTGGGACAGTGCCGTGCTCCCTGGCATCCTAGCAGGTGAAACTGGCTTCATCTAGAGCCTTGGGATGCCTCCAGAATCCACACCTGGATCACTCTGAGTTGCCTCTAGAAGCTTCTAGAGGGCCAGAGGTGGGGGTCCTAGGACCACAAGAAGGATAAAATTGGTGGTTGGCTCCACCTGAAGTTCACTTTCCAGGAGAGTGGGGTGGAGAAGGCTGGGAGGTGTCCCCGAACCAACTTCAGACAGGTACTGGGAGAGCAGTAGTGCCACTAGGCAGCGGGGCTTCGGCCATCCTTTCCCTGTCTGGGTCATTGGGCAGCATCTTGGTGGATTTCAATCCAATAAGATGCAGGTTCCAGCTCTCTTCACTCCYATAAATTGCGGCTAGAAAGGGGTGACTCGACTTCCTAGGCATGCCTTCATTTTGGTAAATTGCTCCTTTGCCTGCACCGGGCGCCTGAAAAGTCCAGCCCCTCCTAGAGACAGGGGTCAAGGCTGTGCTGGGCCCAGCCAGGCACCTGTTCCTAGGCCACTGGGGACACAAGGCCTCGCCTCCTCCTCAGGCTTCCTCCTGCCCACAGGTTCCTCACACAGCCACGACTGGCCCTTACCCACAAGTGAAGGGGGCCCGTTCCTCCGCCCACTTCCCACTGCCTCTACACCAGCAGAATGGCGGCTCTGACCCCCGAGCGGAACCCTCCCATGGGGGACCAGGCTCTGTGCAGGGCTCCAAGGGCAGGTATCTGTTGGGTGAAGGTCTGTTTCATACTCAAGGCTGGACTAAACGGGTGCTCGTGGAAGTGCCCCCAAGTTCACTGGGCCCACCTCATCTCTGGTGCTGGGGGATGTGGAGGGGGATGATGAGGGGGATGAGGAGGTGGATCCCCAGGGGAGGGAGGGGAGGGGGGAGGGGCAGGCTCTGGGGCCTGAGGCTCCACCCCCCCTGCCCCGCCCAGGTGTGAGCTCACAAAGGCTGTGGGAGGCTTGGAGATCAGAGGCTGGTGGAGACCAGGAGTCCTCAGTGGGAGCCCAGGAGATGGGACGGGAGGCCTGGAGGATGAGGCAGAGGCCTGGATGGCCCAAGGCCCAGGACAACCAAGGCCTGGCCCAGTGCATGGCCCAGGTCCAAGTCCGCCCAGGTGAGAGCAGAGGTTGGGGTGGGAAGGAGGTGGCAGGGAAGGGTTGGTGTCCATGTGGTCCATTTTCCAGCCCCCTCCTCTGGCCCTCATTCAGGGCCCCTCCTCTCCAAGCTCCTCACTGCCCACCTCCTCCAGGCAGGCTGGATGCTGGGCCCTATCCAAGCACAACACTTTTGGATGACCCATCTTGCCCCTGAGAGTTTGGAGTTCATCCTTCATGTCTGCTTTCATTCCAGAGTCCTAGGACATGTTACTTGATCTCTCTGTGCCTTTTGAAAATCATCTTTCACATGGGAACCCCAATAGGTGTGACCCTGAGGGACACTGCAGGGATTCAACAAGAATACGGCTCCCTTCCACCTTGTCTGCAGAGCCAGTGTTCTGGAAAT